TTTCCAAAGTAAGGGGAACACGGACTATTTCTAACAGGATCTTAAGGGCAGGCTCTTTGACCTCCCCACACCCCCAGGGGAGGAGCAGTCCTGTTAGGCCACATAGGAGGACTTTGCAGCCAGCCCTGAAGATACCTGATAAAACAGGGTCAAATGAAAGGAGAGGAGGTCCTCCCCTATCAGTGGACTTGGAAAGGGGCAGGGAGGAGACCAGGGAGGGAGTGTGGGGTTGGGGAGGGAATGAGGGAGGGGGATACAGCTGGGACACAGAGTTAACAAAATGTAACTAATAAGAAAAATAAAATTAAAAAAAAAGAAAACAATGAAAAGAAAAGAATCTAGAAAAGTAAGACTTGCCCAAAATTGAGGCTTGTTCATTCAGGAAAAAACAACAACAGCACTGAATCTTACTGCCTACCCTTCTCAATCTCATCTTTCTCAACTTTCTTGGTAACATAGAAAAGTCGACCTTGCAAACAGAGCAGTAGAGAAAAACTGAAGTGTAAAAGCCACAGACTGGACAGACCCTGGTTCACCAGAACGTATTATTTGCAGTGAATTGACCTTCACAGACTGGTCTAAAAGCTCTCCACAAAAGCTTCATTAAACAGTGTTTGTCTTCGTCTGACCGAGTTCAAAGTTGAGAGCTGGGAAAAGATTTCTCTTCAGAACATTTATTGCAAATAGTCAGTGGTAATTGTTAGCACTTGGATATCTGCCAAAGGCAAGAAGGGCTTCCCTATCAGCTAATGTGGAAACCAAAAGGGAAGATCTGGAATATGAGATGTCTTTAGAGAGATTTTTTTTTTAAGTTTTAAAATTTAGTACTTTATCATGTATACTCGTTTGTGTGTGTGTGTGTGTGTGTGTGTGTGTGCGTGTGTGCATGCTTGCACTCACTTGTGAGTGCTAGTTCCCACAGAGTTCTCCCTTAGAGCTGGAGTTGAAAGCAGTTTTGACTTGTACAACATGGGTACTGGAAGAGCAGAATATACTCTCGCCTGCGGAGTTCTCTCTCCAGACCCAGAGGGTAAAACAACAACAACAACAAAAACCTCAAGCTGGAGCAGCCAAGGTAGCCAAGTGCAGCTCTGTGACCTAAGAGGCCAAGAGGCATCATATTTGAAAGAGGCATCATATTTGATGCCCACCATCCTCTCCCAGGAAACTGAAGAGGAAGGGTGGGAAAGGAGGAGCCCAGGTCAGCCAAGGTGGAGGCAAAGCGGGAAAAGACCACAGGAAAGAATAAATTATGAGACAAAAAAAGTGCAGACAAAGGGGGAGAGGTGAGCAAGGAAGAAACAGGCTGAAGCGGTTGGCGTAGAGACAGACCTACAGAAGACAGAGAAGGAAAGGCAGCATCCTCCCTCAGAAGTAGAAGGGAAAGAAACTACGCCCGACTAACCGTCTATCATATCTGTCAGTGATCCCGTCTGCTGTATTGTAGCCAGAGGAATTTCTTCTTTTTTTTATAAATCAATTATTTGGTAAACGGGAGTTTTTTGGTAGCTGTATAAAAACTTTTAAATTAAGGGATGTGTGTCTATCTCATCCCATTTTTTTAAGTGTAAATGATTTGTTTTTGAAGAGGTAAAATCACTCACTGGGGTTATATTGTTTGTTTGTGTTTTGGCACAACCAAAAGATTGGGGGATGCTGAATTAGGAAGGGCTGTGACTGTCTTGGCGGTCACTGTAACCATCCATAGAGGGGGCGAGACACAATACAAAGCAAACTTAACTGCAGTTCGGAATCTCAGTCATGCATTATGTCTAGACTATTTTCAATTAGTTCTGGTCCTGTGTTTTGGGTAGAACAGTTTCCTACAAATCCACTCCTTGGCTCTTGCCTTCTCAGGACTGTAATGTGTCTGGTAGTAGCAGTAGCAGTCCATTTTCTTAACAGTTTTGATAATGTGCTATAAAAGATGGGAAGTTTGAGTAGGTGCTGTAAGTGGCCTAAAGTCTGAATCAGCGGAAGATTGTGACTGTGTTGTGTAAGGTCTTAAGGAAAACTTGCTGCCAAGTTTGAAGCTGAAGGATCACTGGGATAACTTCAAAAAGAACCAGTATGTGGCTCTTCAGGAGAGTTTTGGAATCTGAACACAGTACATTACTTCAGAATTTTGGTGCATGTGTTAACAACTGTGTATAAATTGAAACTTCTGTGTATCAATGTTCAAGCAATAGAATCTCAGGAATCCCAAGCTGGATATGGTGACACACTTATAATCCTAACACTTGGAAGGCTGAATCAGAAGGATTGCTTCGATGTTGGGTCACCTAGGCAACAGATTGAGACCCTATCTCAAAAGAGAAAAAGACAGACAGACATATACAGAGAGACAGACAGAGAAATAATAGTAAATTATGAGCCAACATCCAAGGGGAAAATATGTTATTAGCACAAATATGTTCAGGGGGAATGTATGGATATTCACATGTACAAGAAGGACCAGAAAGGGCCGAACACTCAATTCTCTACTTCAAAAACAAAAGAAAACAAAAGCAGTATGCTGCATTATTGGTGTGTCTGATGTACACAGAATCACCTACTGCTCACCATGCTAGCAAACCAAAGATGTCCACAGTCCACAAAAAGAATTCATGCTTTACAGAGCTAATTTGTCAGAGTCACTAAATAAGTAACAAGAAACTCTTCTCTCTGTCTCTGTCTCTGTCTCTCTCTCTCTCTCTCTTTCTCTCTGTGTTATGGATGTAGTTTTTACATTCTAGGCCAGTCCTTTACCACTAAGGACATATGAAGTGCTTGCTTTTATTGATACAGTCTACTCTACAGAACAAGTTGGACTTGAGCCTTCTCAGTCAGCCACTTGAGTGTCACCATGCCCCCATGTCCACTGACATGCACAAGACACCATGTTTAACTTCCTTCAGCCTGACATCCATTGATAGTGTTTCTTTCATAAAAAGAAAATATTTACGTTGAACTAATGGCTCCAACGTCCTCCCAGGACAGTTAATAAGAAAAATCCCTATTTAGCTTCGTTGTGGTCTCATCATATGTCACACCAAGTGTTCTCATTAAAGCAATCTTCCAGATATAAGAGAGAGTGGGAACTGGCTGAAAGCAATGATTGGAGTAGATTTTATCAACCGAGGAAACTCAGAGCTGTAGATCTCTGATGTAAACACCTTGAAAGGGCAAGAGGCATTTCTATGCATATGCGCTTCTCCTCAGCTTTGAGGTCAGAGAGACACGTGTGCCCAGACTATCTGATGCTATTTTAATTGCCTCTGTAGACTTAACATCATTTCTTTGAAAGATTTGTACAGAAAAGATTATTACTCAGTCTTCATCTATGATAGACTCTTTCTTGGGCTGAGTTCATCCTCTCCACAATTCCATAGGTAAGTAAACACACTGCTGTTCAGAGCACAAACTAATGACCTTTGTAAACACTATGCTTGTCAACACTTGCTGTTACAAGATGAAAATTTTCATTCATCTCTGTGTGCCTAGAGGGATGCAGAGCCTAGTAAAGAACATGGACTGCCGAATAATGAAAACATTTTAATCAGTTAATGAATGAATGAAGTATGAGTAAAACACAACTCATTCAGACCAGGAAGAAGCCAGAGGAAGAGAATCCTTCACTCTCAAAAGAAGTAAGCTTTGGTGGCATCTTGGTGGAAAACAGGTGCCATCATCCACTAAATACTGAGTGAGATACACTTTTTGCTATTCATATACATTAAATTTAAAAGGTATGGAGAATAATCAGATAACAGTGATCAAGGATCAGTAGTGCTAATCCCAGACTTGGTGGTCGAGAGCAGAGGCAATTTCCGTATTGTGTTGAAAACCTGGGTTTCTTTACTGACTGCACAGTGCCCTGGCAGTCCCTTTAATCAACCTAAACAGAAGTGACAGTGCTCTGAACACTATGAAGACCATCGTTCACTAATACAATACTATGCCAAGAGCAGAATATGTATATATAAAACATTTCCCAAGACCTGAACAGGAACAGCGTCAGCAGACATGCTAACACAAGGGGGAGCGGAGAATCTACCAAAGCCTCAATTCTACAGGCAGCTAAGGAATGCAGAGGGCAGAAGAAGCAGTCTTCCCCAGAAAAGGGACACCAACTGGTTATCAATACTAAATAGTCAGCCCTGAAAATATATACATTCAAGTAACATTATACAGATTTTGAAGATTGTATTTATATATTCAGAAATGTACATACACACACATGCACATATGCGCACACACACACACACCAAAAATTACACAAAAGAAGCCTGGGGTTATGAATTTGGAAGAGAGAGGGCATATGGGAGGAGCTGGGATGAGGAAACAGAAAAGGAAAATTGATGTTAGTTATATTTTAACTTCAAAAAAGCAAAACAAAACAAAACAAAAAGGGTTTCTCAAGGATGGAGATGGCTCAGTGGTTAAGGACATTACTGCTCCTCCAGAGGACCCAGCTGCTGTTCCAAGCACCCATACCAGTCAGCTCACAAGCACCTGTAACTCCAATTCTTGGGTATCTGACAGCCTTTTCTGGCCCCTGAAGGCACATGCACACACACACACACACACACACACACACACACACACACACACACACTCACAAAGACATAGGCTTAAAAATAAATTAAAAATAAGCAAAAAAAAAAATTCCTCGACAAATCTTAAAAGCTCAAAATAAATAGATCATGTGACTTAAGAGCAATAATAAAGTAGAACCAATTGCCTGAAGCACTACAGGGCTTCAGGGATTAACCTAACTGGGGAAAGGAGGGAATAAAGAAAGAATAGACACACAGACATTCATACAGGAAGAAGTAAACTTATATCAATTAAAGGAACAAGTCAGCCCAATGAAGCGAAAGATTATACATGTATTATGTATATTCTCATGCACGTGTTTACTTGCGTGTTCTTACTTAACCTCTGGCAGTCCTACTTTGAAGGCAGGGTAGAGCACAGTGTTTACTATGGGGATGTCAGAAAAGGCCGTTGATTCTCACCTCGTAGACGTTGAACTGTGACTGCCCTCTAGAAAGTTCCCGGTAGCTTGTCGTAAACTCCCCAATGAAATCATGACTGAAAGTGAGAGGAGAAAAAAGTGGGTAGCATTAGCCTTGCTCAATTCTCATTCATGTTTCAAAACATTTTGTTACAAAGGGATCGTTTAGTGATTATGAGAAATGTTTACTATCATTAGAAACATAACTATATTACTTAGTTGATCTATTGAGAGATGTATAATTTATTGTAGTACATGTATTAATTATAACATATATGATTTCCCTTAATGTAGAATTCATAACCAACAATCATATTTCATTAATATTCAGAAATCTAACTTATGTACCAAAATTAATACCTGAAACAGAAATAGTAGATTTAATAGCATTCACATCTTAAATAAATGACAATCTGGTGTAATTCAAATAATTATCTCACTAAGTTTAAAACCTTGCTGAGAAATTAGTCACTGGTATCTCACCCCCAGGCAATTATAATTCATCAAAGGAAGAACATAGAAGTTATCGGAACTGGAGAGTTGGTCAACCTGACAGAATTTAGAAACACGTAGAGAATGGCTCTTTCCACATGCCCGAGGAGTGTTATCTTGATTGCACAGATTGCGATGGGAACATCGCCACTGTGGGCAGCACCATTCTCTGTGGGGCTCTGGAGGTGTGAGCAGAGAGAGGCACTGGGCAGCAACATGCAAGCCTTGCTCAATGCTGCTGTCAATGTCATGTGACCAGCTGCTTCAAACTCCTGCCACCTCGACTTCAGCCATGGTGGAATGGCTGCATCTTAAACTGTGAGCCAAAAGAAGCCCTTCCTCCATTAAGTTGCTTTTGTCGGGGTAGTTTATCACAGTAACAGGAAGGGAATCTAAGTCAGGAGGTAAACTATTTTAATAGAGAGGTATGCCACCGTAGTTTTTGTGTCACAGAACCTGCAAGCCGTTCGTTGTCATTAATGGATGTCTCTGTAAAGCCTATCTCAATTTAATATATAGCTGTGAATCACTTAAAAATTCATGAACCTTCCCGTGACCAGTAACAAGCAACGAATGAGCTGTGTTTAAGCAAGCGAAATTTTAATTTCTGGAGGCTAATCTTTTGAAAAGAAAACAATTAACTGCAATCAATTACATGGAAGTTTTATGGTAGGAACATTGTTTCTTTACAAACATTTGAGGCGTGACTCAGTTTGATGCGCAGTGTCCCAAATCCTCTTATCAAGGGCCCCCCCTGCGTGTACAACCCAATAACTACTCTTGCCTGCTGTCTAATCTTGACACCTGTAACTAACACGCAGATGTGCCCGTGTCAAAGTAGAGTGTTGTAATTGTGATGTCAAATCCTTCAAACTCACTCTTTCAAGCTACAGGTGGAAAGTTCGCAACAGTGCTTTAGTACTGGTTCTTTCTTTCTTTCTTTCTTTCTTTTTTTTTTTTTTTTTTTACATGTCTTCTGGAACTTGGAAATAAGGATTTAATCAAGATCAATGAAACAATTGTTTTGAGCATGGAATGTGCAGCCTCATACCCATGATGTCTTTTTAAAAAAAAAGAAAAGAAAGAAAACAAAAAACCTTGTAACTCTCTTGAGACTTAGCGATTCTATTTAAAACCTAGCCTCTCCCTTATGCAACTGTCAGGTATCTTAAATAGTAACCATGGAGATGAAATGTTCTGCTGAAGCTCTTCAAGTGCCATGGTGCTAATAGGCGTGATCCGACCTGTAATACTGAGCAGTGGTGGTAACGGAGAATGGAGACCTAGCACAGACCGTGGGTCTGTCTGTGCTTGGTTACTTGCTGAAATTTCAGTGTTCAGTTCTTGATTGTTTGCACTCCATTCCCGCCATTCGACATTTACCACACACTTGACAGGAAAGTAATGTTTACAAGCCCCAAGCAGATGCAATTTATGAAACTCAGACTCTTGTCAGGAGCATCTACCTACATAGAACTATCTGACCAAGAGGAACACACGGATCCAATGGCAGGGACCGGTTATCAGAGCGCTCGGGAATGACCAAACTGAGCTCGATGCAGAACTAAAACAGGGTCCTTTGTATTCGGCAGTTTTGAGCTTGTTATGTTTGTTGCTCCTTTCAAAGCTGAGAGGTGTACGACAGGGGCAACGCGTCTGTTCTCAGAGATGGAAATTTACATTTGAAACTGCTGAACTGGGTGACCTGCTCTGGAAGATGCCGGCACATTCTAAAATGAAGAGAGGCTGTTCTCCTTCGCATTGCGTTCTACAGAGAGCCGAATCTGTGATTTCCCTCTAACAAAGGGTAGCCTTTGCCACCCTCTACAGAGCCCTGTTTCCTACCCCCACTGCTCAACCCCAGCGTCCTGACCCAATCTGTCATTTTGTATGCACTTCCCCAAAATGTTTTGTATTTGTTCAGAACAAGATAGACCATAAGGAAATGAAACAACGGGTAAAGTATTGTTCCCCCTCTCAATAGAATTCAAGAGAGTTATTTTAGAAGAACCAAAATTCAATTCATGTGTAACTTAAATATTCTTATATTGTAGCAAGTAATGTGCATTTAGTCAAAATTTGCATGGCAGCCACCAAGACTGTAAATATAGGATAGAAAAACATCGTTTTCCCAGTACAGTCCCCAGAGAAATGAGTGAATATATGTAGAACACTTGTCAAACTTTGTAAAAATAGCAGTTAAGCTGCCAGATCTAGATGCAAACACAGATCGTCTCAAGAAGAACACCAGTGATATGAACAGAGATGATCCGGCTAGTATAAATCCATAGATAGGGTTTATCATTCCCTTCCTTTATATACTTTCCTATTTCAAATGCTGCATGTTAAGCTACAAATACGTTAAGAACATTAAAATTTTTTTAAGTTTTCTTTTTAAATGCTGCTGTGGGGGGGTCATACAAAGGTGTGGATCGTCTATCTTTATTAGTCCTTGCCTATTCCTTTTAGATGGTACCTCTCTTTGGACCCAAGGCTTGTGTTTTCTGCTTTAGACTCAAAGCCAACCCAGTGATCCTCCTGTCTCTACCTGTCAAATTGGCTGGAATTAAAGGTATTTGTGAAATGCCTAGGCTGTGACATAGATGCTGGCATCCACCCTCTGGTCCTCATAACTGCTAAGCCATCTCCTCAGCTTCCACGTATATATAGATTTATTGATTTTTCTATCTACTATCCCTGGACTCTACTAAAACGAAAAGAAAGTTGAACTTGCTTGAATAATTTTTATGTTCATTGTGCTCAATGTAATGATGCTGAAATATTTCTTGCTACATATAGATATATGGTGGAAAGTGTTTGAAACTAAGTCACAAGCAACAATTTACTTCTGATTTTAATAATAATGTTTTCACCACTTTCTATTGATTTCATTGTAATTAAATACTTTGTTCTCTGAATGCCTTTTCAAAGAATTTAGCTCAGTGCCCTTTGTATGAGTGCTATGTCTTTACATGATTATTGTTCACATTTTTATAATATATATGGAAAGTTTGAGGTGGTAAATTAAGAGATATTTAGGACAAATTGATGACTCCCATCACTAGCAATTGCACTATGGAAACTAGTTTTCAGCAGACAGCTGAAGGAACTCTACGTACCGCAATCATATCTGTGTTCCATGCCAGTGGAGAGTGGCAGGCTGCAAGTGGGATTCGTGTTCACACGAGTCCGTGACCACAGACATCACCTCCTTCCTTGGCATCACTTGGCTTAGCTTTTGTTTCCCCCAAGAGGCCTCACCCTGGTACACACCCTCCTAGTCAGCTCTCAGAAACAAAAGCAAGTCTCAAAGCACCCAGTGTCTCCCTATTCTTACATTTCCTACCATCTAGGATAAATGATTGCTTATGTGTTTTCCCCTCTGAGCCTGGATTAGTCTAGAAAACAGGCAAGTGAAACTCTCACCCCAGTATCCCCATACATCTGCATTAGTGCCCAGCACACAGTGGGTACCACGAAAATCACAGTATACTCAGATTACATCTCTGTCAGTGCCCGGCACATAGTGGGTACCGAGAACAGCACAGTGCTCCGATATCTGGCATTTCGCCCAGTTTATTAGGGTTGTTACCTCAAGGCAGTTACATGCAGTTCGGCATACCAGCAAAAGCAGCAAGTATGTTCATTTTGAAGCCCTGTGGTCCGAACACGACTCTGACCATTATTGCTACACAATATGTGCTTATTTGATCCCACTGAAGGTCTTCCCTTCGGAGGCCATTCTGATGGGTTTCATGCTCAGCTTCCCAACCGTCACCTGAACTCTGTACAGATGTGACAACTGGCAGATACATCCCAAACCACCCCATTCATTTCTCTGCCATGCTGGGGTCCCGAATTACTGTCAACTTATATATATTTCACCTAAATGTTGGAAGCAATGCCATGTTCTTATTTCAAAACTAAATTTAGATAATTATTTTGATTCTTTCTGTCAAGAATGTTTATTTTTTGAAGACCTTAATACAGTGCATTCCAGTTTTTAGCAATGTAGTTTCAAACACCTTTACATGTAGTCACCGAAAAGGGTTTAGTCAAAAAATCATTTATAGAGACATATTAAGCTTACGAATTTGAAGTATTACACAACACTACATGACACTTTGAAATTATATACACTAAGAAAGCCTGCATGGATTGCAGGATGCTCACTCCTGGAGTCCTTCTACATAGGGTATATAGCGCGGTGTGATGGCTTCACGTCTGTGTTGAAGGGAATTTCAGATGAAGATTTGTATGCAAATTTCATATGGAAAACAACATCTCTACATGTTGAATTCAGGACAAAAATTATTACAATTTGTTAAAATTTGCATACAAATTTTCCCCCGCAGGCTCATGTTTGCTTGTCCCCAGGCTGGTGTTCCTATTTTGGGAGGCAGCGGAACTTTTAGGAGGTGAGCTGTGGCCTGGCTGGCGGAGGTTAGTCACACTCCATCCCCCAGTCCTAGCAGCCTATCCTCTATGCTGTGAAGAATCGCATTCTCTCATTCCCACATCCTCCTGAGAGCAGGGAGCCTCCCTCCAGGCCTTCCCTGACTAATGGAGGAAAGTTCCCTAAAAC